TCTGAGAACTCATTTCCCCTGTACTAGAGGTGTTTAAATACTCAGTGTCTATGCTGAGATTCTAAGCCTGTTGAATGTAAGGAAATATTAACACCATCTTTGTACACCCATAAAACATATCAGATTTACGATAGAGGTCTGAATTTTTTGTGTTATGTAGTCCAATATGGGATGTTTAAATATACCAAATTTCATGAAGATGACACATAAAGCCTCTGAGATATTTGCTCTCAAACATGGTAAGTATCGCAATTTTACTCAACTTTAAAATGTTAAGTCTGTACCTTAAATACTTGTTGAGATGTTGTCATCCAAAGTCTTGTCACAAATGTGGCAAAAACTGAATTTTTTCATTATTTTTTTGTAGCAAAAGCTATCACAGTTGTCATCCTAAAACTTAGGATTATGCCATCTTCATGACAATCCTCCATCCTCAAATTTTTTAAATCCGAGATGGTCATGCGGGAAGATTTTTTGAAATCTGGTGGATTGAGGTGGAACGACACAATATGTGTTCAATAGATAATGAAATGGTTCCTAAATGCTCTTCACAGTGTGAGAAACTACGTGGTGTGTCAGAAAAGTTTCAGGACTGGTGTCACAAAAGACATATTTTAAATCCAAACTACAAGTTTTCCCCTTCGAAGTAATCCCCCTGGAGTCTAACCACTTCCCCAGCCTTCTCTGCCACGCCACCATGCACTCCTGGAAGGATTCTTCAGGGATTCTCTGCAGCTCCGTCGTCACAGCCATCTTGATGTCGTCCACGTCTTCAAAACGGGTCCCCTTGATGACCCCCTTGAGCTTGGGGAAGAGGAAAAAATCCCATGGAGCCAGGTGGGGTGAGTAGGGAGGCTGCTCCAGCATGGTGATGTTCTTCTCAACCAGGAACTGTCGGATGTTCAGGGCATTGTGAGCGTTGTCATGGTGAAGCAGCCACAACTTGTCCGGCCGCAACTCTCACCTCTTCTTGCGCACTGAACGAAGCAAACGGAGCAGGATCTCTTTGTAGACGTACTGGTTGATCGTCTGAAGGGGAAAACTGGTAGTTTGTAGTTTGGGTTACAAATGTGACACCAGACCTGGAGATTTTCTGACACACCTCGTATACATCCATCCATTATCTCTACATTTATAACTGTGTACAGGTGTTATTGTGTTTTTCAGGTGTCTTCTGTCTGTTTCAAGCAGCTTGATAAAAGACTTTTTCATTCTATTAGGGGGCACATTAACAAGCACACCCCATGAAATACATATGTCATCTTCATATTAGATTTGATCATGTAAATGTTTAGGATATCATGTCCATTCATCCATTATCTATACACTGCTTGACCCTCACTAGGGTCATGGGGGGCTGGAGTCTATCCCAGCTGACTCAGGGTGAAGGCAGAGGACACCCTGGACAGGTCACCAGTCTATCGCAGGGCTACACTTAGAGACAGACAACCAAGCACACTCACATTCACACCTACGGACAATTTAGAATCACCAATTAACCTCAACATGTTTTTGGACCGTTTGGGAGGAAGCTGGAGAACCCAGAGAGAACCCACGCTGCACGGGGAGAACATGCAAACTCCACACAGAAAGATCCTGGGCCTTCTAACCGGGATGCGAACCGGGGATCTTCTAGCTGCGAGGCGATGGTGCTAACCACCGATCCACCTTGCAGTCCCCTCGTATTCATTATATGTTTAACTTATGCATCCAGTTGTTAATTTGCTTCTACGTGTACATGAAAGGAATGTTTACTGACACTAAGACTGATTGGCCTCTGCTTTCAGGTGCAACCTGGCGCCGGTGGAGGACTACTCTCGGGATGTTGGCCGGCGGACCAACCTGGTGACCATGAACCCTTCGGTGGTCCAGCGGGCCTTCCAGGACCTGGTCAGCGAGGAGTGGAAGGAGCGCTTTTTGCAACGTCTCCGGAGCCTCAGCGGCAGCGTGCTGTGGATCCCGGCCTTCATGGCCAAGGGCGGGGAGGAGCGCGTGGAGTGGGCGCTGCGTCTCATCCTGCTGCACACCGTGGACGTCCGCACCGCCTTTCCGTCGCTGCGCCTCCTCCACGCTGTCAGAGGGTAAGACGCAGCTCAGGCACAGCTGCTGCTCCTGGTGCGCTGCGTCTCATAAGAACACCTGCGAGCAGCATAATCAAGGGCTCGGCCGGCTCTAATCTGCAACCTATGAGGCTATTATTAAACCGGGTATTACAGCAGGTCACCAGGGGCAGCCGGTGTGAGAAAGCTACCCTCGCTCAGCGTGCACCTCGAGTCGCCTTATCAAATGTGTAAAAATGTGTGTTTTGCTTTCAAATGGGTCTATTTTATGTTTTATTGGCTTGCTTGAATCAATTTTTAATGTCTCTGTCTCTTAAAAAGACTGTCTGACATTTTGGAAAAATATGCTTATTTGCTCTTTTGCTGAGAGCTCGCGGAGAAAATCGATTCTCCTCTCATGAGGCGTTTCCATCATATATTTTTAGGTGCATGAATTGAGACCCTTTTCTGAATAACTTTGGAAATAGTGAACATTTAACTCATATGACTGATCAGGTATGTCTTCGCCTCCACACAGCATGAGACATGTCCAATACCAGCTGACAGGAACACTGCTTTATATTTTTCTCTCTTAGACGGCCAACGTTTTGCTTGTTTCATCTTTTTCTTGAGTTTTTTTTAGCGGCTGGCAAACGACTGGTTTTGTGTCAGACTTCCTCTGCTCTGTTTAGTACATCTGTGCGTTACGTAGCTTTTTCCGTTACCTCCTGAGGACACTCAGTTTGTTTGCTCCACAGCAGTTAATGGAAACAAGTCTAATTTGCATTTTCTTGTTTTAATTTTTTATGACATTTCAAAAGTTTCCTTCAAATTAGCTTGACAATTATATGGACACGCAGCTCTGTTGTGTGTTAAGTAGAAGCAGGACCAAAGAGGCAATTAGCTTAGCAAAAAGCTCTGGAGCAAAGGCAAACAGCTTCTGTGTAAAGTTTAAAATACACCAACTAATATCTTTAAAGCTCACTAATTAACATTTTGTATCTTGTTTGTTTAACATGAACTGAAGAAGAATTATAACAAGGTGCCTGCTGGCTCTTTGTGGCTCTACTTTGGCATAGTGGTGCTTTAGCTAGAAGCTAACACAGTCAATGCTAACGCGCTGATGTTCAGATTAGATTCCTTTCTTGTCGTTGTATACACAGAGCATACACAACGAGATTCAGTTGCGCTTATGGAAACAGTAATACAAAATATACAAACGATAAAACAAACCGTAGAAATACCACCATCTTAAGTTTAGCATGTTAGCATGGTAACATTTGCTACATAGGCAATACAACTGAGGCTGATGGGAATGTATTTGGTTATGAACGAGCACACGAGGTAAGTAAAATTTTGATCCCATGTGAATTTCGAGTCCACATATAGACTGTATGTAAAAAACAGACATAATAAATGAGAGGTGCTTTGTGGAATACTGTTGTAAAGCTTCGAGTTTGGCATTTGGTCATAGCCATCTTGGCCTTTAGATTAGATTGGATTAGATTAGATAGAACTTTATCTAATCTAATCTAAAGGCCAAGATGGCTATGACCAAATGCCAAACTTAATGCTTTACATGTAGAAACTAGATGTAAAGATGACTTGGACTGGAGAACGCCAGGACACGATGATACAGCTATGAATCATAAGTTAGCTCGACCATAAAGTATACCCCGCTTTGCCATCTATTTTACTCTAAGAGACCATAATTTATTAAATGAACACCATGCTGTGTTCACAGAGCCTTGAAACTCGCGACTGAGGCCATAAACCCATTAGGAAAATGTTTACTGAGCCAGTAAATCAGGGGAGAAATAGGATCATTTTCTCAGCGACTTCTGTACAATCAGACCTCCTCTTGCAACCGCAGGAGTCGCCCCCTGCTGGCTGTGGGAGACACTCCTGCATTGGCTTCACTTTTTTAGACCTGCAGTCTGTGTCCATCTTTTATATATGGTCAATTATCTAAATCAGACCACAAATACCAGCCTCACGGTGGAATTAAAGGAAATCACAGTGGGTTGTGGACAGCGGTGGACATACTGGGCAGCAACACCTTTCACAGAGCCACCGCATCACATGCTTTGGCTTTATCTTGGTGAAGATAAGCAGACTGCAGTGAGTCCTGTCATCACCGTGACATTGCCAGGCAACCGTAACAGAGATGCTGTATAGAAGCGCTGGGCAGACGGACCTCATGTTGTTCACGATGTCGATCCTCTCATCTAATTGCCGGCGAGGAATCAAATGAGCACATTTTCACAAATTGCCGTGCTGCTCCTTTAATTGAGGTGTCGCTGGAGTCTGATTGCTGTGACAAGGTGTTCGTTCTCCGCTCAGCATGATTCACAGTCAGCATTTTCAACTCTGTCAAAGGAAAATGTGAGTTTCTGAGAAGATCAGTTTGCCTTAAGCCCAAATTAAGTGCAAAATGTTATTTATTTGCCAGTTCTGTTGTTGAGAGGCCTCTGCAGGAGCAGAGATAATAGAAAAAGCCGGTAAGCTGTGGTGTAACAGGACTTGTTTAGTGTGCTCTGTTATTATTTATTTTAAAGGTAGGGAGTTGTTGTTTTTTTTTCTTGCAAGAATACTTTCTGTATATCTGTCGAATACATCCTCCACTGCCTCCAGGCTTTTTATACAATCCCTCTACACAAGTTTCTTTTTTTTTTTTTTTTACCATCCTCGCCTCTCTCAACACGACCAGCCTCTGCTCCGGAGATTTCCTGCCTCGTTAAAAGCCTAACAACCACTGCTGGTCAGTGACCAAATTATGCCATTTTCTCTGCTCCAACTAACTCTCGGTATTACACAGGGGTAGAACTGGCCGTGATTTTTTCTTTTTTTTTTAACAGGCTGTGAGGTCAATCTGTTGAAATTATTTAGCTTTAAGTTTACTGGAGATATAACATCTGTCTTTTATAGTGGAGTCTTCTTCTGACCTTCTCTCAGTAAAGCTGAACTTTCAATCCCCACCGGTGTGCAGCAGAGGACAAAGGATCTGCTCGTATTCACTCCGACCAAATGTCACCTCAGACCATTTCACTGATAATTGGATCATCTTCTGCGGTTGTTAGGATGCTTACTACCTGCTGCGGTGTACGACCGGGCTGCACACTTGCCCACTGTTTGCCCTGCGTGGCCCGTGAGCGGCTTTAAATAGCACAACCTCTGCATCTCAACCTTCCACTGCGACCACAGAGGGTGTCAGAGGCAGGCGGCGATGGCCTCGAGGCTGGACAAATGGGCGAGTGACTGAAAAGGAAAATGAAGTTAGGGCAAGCGAACGGCTGACCATCTGTCCCCGGAGCTGCTCCCGAGGGAGGCATGTGGCATGTCACTGTCATAGGAGCTCCTCGGTCACCCAAAGGAGAACACAGCAGTTGTGCAGAGCAGCTTCGTGGTGTATTTTTGTTTTGAAAGAAGAAAAAAAGAAAAAAAAGCAGAGGCAGTAAAAGAACATGTGCTCAGCAAACACGCTGCAGAACCATCCACCTGAACGGGTAATTTATTGTCAAATTAAGCCCTCAGGAGTTCTTTTTTTCTTAACAGACACACAGTAAAAGCTCTGCCGCTGTGGTGAGAGTCTTTTTTTTTTCCACAGTGCAATTTCCATTACTTCAGGAGTGTCTTTGCTTTGAAACTAGACAGATGGAAATTATTTGTTTCCTGTACAGATGGTAGTTGTATCAAACAATGGCACTTGAGTCGCGATTTTTTTTTTTGTGTTTGTGTTAAATTGCACAATGTGGGAAGAATATTGTTGAGAATAGTATCGTTCAGTTGATTAATCACTCAGATCTACAAATTCTGTTTCCTGCATCCTGAAATCTTCAGAAGGGTTTTTTTGGGGTTTAATCTGCAGTGAAAACCCCCCAAACACAATTAGTTTACAAAGCAAATCCTTATATTTGAGAAGCTGTAACAAGAAAATGTTTGTTGTTTTTGCCTGATAAATGAGTGTAACTATTAATTTTCCATCAGAGTGACTATGAATTAATCAAGCAGCTGGAAATACAGGAGATTTTTAGCAATGCAGAAAACGTAGATTCCTTCAGGGCCAGTTTGTTGGCCTACAGCACAGAGTTTTTACTTGTGCGCCTGAGGAATCGGCTGCTCTCTGCATGTTTCAACACACTGTATATGTGACTTAATATAAAAAGCCAGCAGGAGAAAGGTCTTACTGAAGGAGGAAAGGTGTTGGTAATACTGCTTTCAGCGCGCCAGCTAGAAAAGAGCTGCGGAGACCTTGAATTTGTTTGTGCTTTTTTTCTACCTTAAGTGACTACCTCATTGAGAGCAGCTAACAACACACGTGTTTGTCTGCAGGTACTGGCTGACCAACAACGTCCACATAAAGCGCCCGACCACCGGCCTCCTCATGTACACCATGGCCACCCGCTTCTGCGAGGAGATCCACCTCTACGGCTTCTGGCCCTTCCCGCTCGACCCGCAAGGCAAACCGGTGAAATACCACTACTACGACACCCTCAAATACGAGTACACCTCCAGCTCCAGCCCTCACACCATGCCTTTGGAGTTCAGGACCTTGAGCACGTTGCACAGACAGGGGGCGCTCCGGCTCCACACTGGGACCTGCGACGTGGTGCAGAGACTACAGGAGGATCTTCAATAGCTGGCATGGGAGATCTCCATGGAAACGGCACTCTTGACTGAACTTTTTTTTTTGTTCTTGTTACTACTACTTTTGTGAAACTTATTTTCAGTAACTGGAATGAACATTTTCTATTTCAAGCTCCCAGAGTGACTCACTTCACCGCCGGTGTGTTTTACCTTCAGCGGGATTCTTACGGCGGCCGTTCCAATAATGAGACCTTTTTTTTTTTTTTTTCAGTATTAGTAACGGGACAGCAGTTAATGCTCCCAGCTTATGATGTGATAGGGCTCCATTAAGGCTGCGTGGTGAATTATGCAGCGCGTCAACAGCGTGAAGGGCTGCTGAATTAATGATGTGAATGTGAGTCACTGGTTGGGCCACAAGATGGAAGCACTTAATAATCAGGGAGAACGGTGATGAAAGAAACAAAGCTTGACCAACGTTCGTTTTTAAAAACCCATGAACACTTTTGGATCTTCTAAAAGACTCGATGTTCGACTTGTGATAACATTTCCTCTGATCTGATAGAGAACGTTTTATGCTTTTGTAGCTTCTTATAAAGTACCTTAATGGGTGTTAGAGCAGGTAACTCACACAAGCAAAAATTTCAAACAGCCCAGTGAACCGTGCGATCGTCGGGTCACCTTGAGAACCAAACCAAGGTGCGGAAGCATGTTGGAGTTGAGCTCAGCGGCTGCGAAGATAAAGGAGCGTACCAGCTGTTCACATATGAATGTTTACCTAGACTTAGCCAACAGTAAACTCACTTTGTAAACTTACCACAAAAAGCACCAGCCCTGTTTCTGCACTGGAAATGTCAGACTGTAGTCGGACGGTGGCGTTAAGAAAGTGTTTTTTTTGTTTTTTAAAGAAATGAATGTATTTGTGACTTTCTTCCGAATGCTGTACTGAACGAGCCCCATAATGTGCTTTAAATTAAGTCACAACTAACAACAGTTTCGGTGCAATAACACTGAGAGGAGGAAGAGCTGGAAAACTTGTTTGCCTTTTATTCACTTGAAATGAAATGTTTGACTTGTATAGCGTGTTTGGATTAGTATTTAACCGCGACAGTAGGATGATATCTGTGGATTTAATTGAAGCTGCCACTATTTTGTGCCTATAATCGATACATTTTTTAAAAAGTGGACCATTCACATGCTCACAAGTAAAAATGTTCAGGGTTTAAGTTATTCTTAGAAGTGTGAGGAAGATAGAAAAACAGTAATTGTCTTAAAAAGCGACCTTTCTGAAACCTAGTTATGAATTATGAACAGCATGTGCAAAACATTTAGTTTCTTTCTCGACTTGTTTTTCAGTAGCTGCGGTCAGGAGAGAAATTTCTTTAATTTAAGAGCCAATAATAGAGCGATTTTTAAAAAAAAACCCAAAACATCTTAATTGGATTATATTTCTGTGCATCAAGCTCCACCTCGGTGAAAGGTTTTCCCGAGTTGTTCTGACTCTGGGCTTCTTGCCAAAAGCTTTGGGTATTTTTCCGCAACAAAATGCCTCCGTGTTAACAAAAATTACCAGAAGCATTTGAAATATGCCAAAAAGCTCTGCAGCTAAACAAGTAGCCTCTCACGCGCTCCCCCCCGACATGTGATTCGTCCACAAAAGTGTTGTTTTGACAGGATGCGAATGTTGCATGTTGGCCTTATTACGACGCCAATTAAGTTAAGAATAGACATGAAAGTTCTACTAGAGACGTCAGTAGTCTGAAGCAATGAAAGGTTTATTTGTCAAAGCTTGTCTGCTTTTGGCAAAAATAGAAACGTTCTGTGGCCAACTTTATTAAGTTAATTAAACCAGAAATCTGGAATTGGTCACAGTTTAGAAAAACATGTCTTTGCTGCTGTGAAGCTGTGCCGATTGTGTTGTATAGTTTTATGTCACTTTTTTCCCCTCATGTGCGCTGTACGTTAACATCTGTTTAATGTCTGAATCCCAGCAAACACATATTAGCTTTTGCATGTTTGTCTTGTCTTAATGGATACGACTTGAGTGTATGTCGATTTTTTGTTTTGTTTTGTTCTTAAAGTATTCAGTCTGACTCATGGACATTTCAGCTGTGCAGTTATGACAAGTGAATGTACTTTTCTGTGGCAGAAAATACACAAAAGGATGAAAATGGGGACAAAAAAACAATTCCACACTCTCTGCTAAAATGATTTAACACTTCAAAGGAAGCTGTTTTATTTCAGTAGTGTTTCAAAGAAATGGAAACTGAGGAAACAGCCGTGGGTACAAGTAACATCTGTGTCAGAAACCAAGCTGAGACTTGTTTTCCGTAGACTTCCAAAACAGTTTGAACATTTAGCTTTTTTTTTTTTTTTTTGGTTTAAATGTGGCATTAGGGAAATTAGCTACAGTCTTCACAGCTACCACAATGACTTTGATGTATTTTACAAGAGTAACTTTCTGTAGCGGATGATTCTGTTCTAATAAAAGTCCACAATTAGCATTTTTATACGCGCTGGGTTTTTTTCCACAATTTCACACACAACTGAAAATAAAATAAACGTCATTACCAAAAGGTGTCATGCTTGGTTTAGACGGGAAACAAAAAACTTAGTAGTGGCATAAAAAAAAATGGACCTGCAGTCTTCTGCATATACAGTGAAAGACCAAAGTTACACATGACGCGTTACAGAAATAAGCAGAGGTCTTATAGTCTGATGGAGAACACATGAAATAACCAACAGTCTGCTTAAAGTATACTAAAGACATCATATCAAAAATATGTTTAAAAGTTTTACATATGATTCTCTAAATAATTTTCATTCACACTCTGCTTGTATTAAACAGGGACAAAGAAAACAAAAACCCCACAATCAGTCCTCTGAAAATAACTTTGGCTTGAACAAAGGAAGAAAAAAGCACAATGTTCTGTCTCCTACAATAAAAAATAGAGTTGACCAGATTGTACGGGATTGGTCGCCGCTTTGCTTTTTTCTCTCTCATTAACCGGGGGATGGACAGCTGCACCTGTAGGACTCGGCGTGCTATCGAATGACAGTTTGGATTAAAACAGAAGGTCACCTGCGACGACCACGCTCGCATTTGCTGCAGAAACCTAATCCGTGTCTATCCTGCCCTGGTCTTCAAACACTCTAATTACAGTTATTGTGCAAGACGGAGACAAAGAAGGCTTGTAAACTCTTCTGCTGCTCCTTTCGTTGAATCAGACTTTTTTGGTAGGTTGTTGGGTATCTGAATGAAACGGTTCTTTGTGTTTTAATAGTGATTTATCTAAAGGACCCAATGACTCGAGGACTTTTTAAATTTAAACGCGAAAACATTTCCATCATCAGTCGGTTCGCAAAAAAGTACTCGAGGAACAATATACACTGAGATACTACACATGGCAGTTTGTACTGGTTTGTCTTTCTGCGCTGCATCTAAAATAGTACATTTAATACACTTCAATCACATTTAATGAGAAGAATCAACAGCCATTAATAGATGTTATAGTGAGAGACTTTACATAATGGTTAGCGCTATCATATAAAAGAAATATACTCGTCGGTGGCCATTTTTAATTTAGTAACCAGACATTACACGGCAAAAAAATACGATATTATTTTTAAAAAACTAAATACTGGGTGTATATTAATCCCGATCTTTAAACCTGTTGTTGATACTGTTCAGTGGTTCCTTGATTAAATGAAGCCGTCACATGAATCAACAGATTACAGCATTCACATTCATAGTAAAGTGATGTACTCTATAAATATCTTACAAATATATCCAGACAATAATCTTTGAGCTTTTAGTCAAATTGGAAAAAACTCCCAAGCTGAGATAGCAGCAAAATGAGACGGGCGGTAAAAAAATATACGCTCACTTCATACGTAAGGACAGAAAACCTTTAACAGTATATACGCACGATAAAGTGGTTAGTGGATAGAGATGATATTTGGTTTAGTTAGAAAATATCAATTACTGTATTTCACTGGATTCTGCAAATAGAAGAAAGTATTCTCTGCAAAATATCTGTTGTTTAGGAACATTTTATGCAAGTTATGGTCTGCAGCAGCCACCAAGCATTCATGTACATATCACAAAGTGTGATTAACCCTGCTTTAAAATAACAACATAGCCAAGCTTTGACATTAGCTATAAACTCCTCAGCCCAACACACCGCAGCTCAAGTGCAGAAAGAATATTCAAATGGTCAGAAAAGAAAATGTCATTTCCATATAATGAATTGTGATGGAGCTCCGAACCACGACAAGTGAATTCACGAAGGCTCCTCATGTCTAACTTTAAAAGTACCTGGGTGGATCACTGGGGCCACACCAAAGCAGCAAAACAATGAAATCCGTATGTCACTTAAACACAGATAGAAGCCATGCACAAGCAGCACGAGTCTGATATGGTAAGACTTGGCAACAACAAAAATACAGGAAACCACTTGAGCTGTCTCGGGCAAAAACTGGAGTCATCAAATATCGATGTCCGAGCTGGAATTCACCTGCAAGGAAAAAGCAGAGAGTCAGAGTTACTTTGCAAAGTTTGATCTGTCGATACGGACCACGTGTGGGGGGGAGGAGGAAATATGTTTTCACACCGAGTGCTGTCTAACTAGGAATTCAAGAACGTCAGGTACACGGGACGTCACATCTTCCTTTGAGGAAGTTAAAGAACAATGGAAAGCGCGGAAGGGTGAAACCCAAAGTCAGCACTGATTCAATAATAAAACCGTGTTTCTTGAAAATATCCTGTTTCTTTAAGAAGCTGTTCAAACACGGTTTACATGCAAACGTCCTGTTGTGTCAGCGCGGTTTTGTGTCGCAACTTAAAATACTGTGTACTTAAGAATAAGTGGAGTGAATATCCATTGGAAGCAAGAAGGGCTGCAGCTGCTTCAGTAGCACAGGGAATTTATCAAAACTTTAGTTGTTATCCTGCAAAGTTTAACAGTCAAAACAGAGTTGCTTTACATAGGCAAATCACGGTTTGAACATTTTATGACTTTGATAGTAAAAAGGAGAGGCTTTGAGTGAGAAAACAAGACTATTTTAAAATGCAAAACATTAAAATCAACTTTTATCTTGTAGGTTTACTATGCGAGATAAATCCAAACCCTTACAAAACCATTAGATTACTTCTCTGAGGACATTAAGACATTTCTGTAGAGATAAAGGGACCAAGTTTGTGTAACTGACTGCTTCATAACGTCGTCACACTTCACAGGGTTATCTCCACTGTATATACACACAGCCTATCTTTAGTATCTCCAATAGAAGCAGAAAGACTTCAGTTCGGTCTTTGAAGAGCATGAATCGCTGTGCGTGCCCTTCTCATCGCTCAAGTAATGTAAAAAAGAACAAACCTGTATTTGACATCAAAGAGGGTTGAGTCATCCTCGTCGTCGTTCTCCTCATTAAGAGGGGCCATCTCCACTCGCTCCGCAGGTGTAGTTATAATATCGTACTTTCGTGTCTTCCTGATTCGTCTGCCAGATCTGTGAGAAATTAAATGAAAGAATTAAAACTGCGCCGCTTCGACTGAGCATCCTCCAACTTCAGTTTTGCCAAATGGAGATGAATAAACATGTAAACTAAGTGTTTTTTTAAATGAATCTATGAAGGCACAGACTGGTGGTTAATACAGCTGTAACTGAATAATGTTTTTGCAGAAGTCATTGGTTGAAAATTAACTGTAGTCATTTATAAACCAACAGTGTGTGGCCCAGGCGCCGCTGGATTTTCTGTTTTATCTTTGTTGAGCAATTTGAAGACAAACTGAGCTACTGTCATTCACCATTAGTCACTGGTGTGCTATTGATTCATTGATTAAACACACAAAAAAGTGTGTTTGCAAAGTAGTCAGCAGCCATGTTTCACTAGTTACTAACAGGCTTCCACTGGCTGATAATTAAACATTAGCTGCTGCCCTGGTGTCAGATTGTAAAACACGCTCTATGTGACGACTGCAAATGTTTAGAAGTGTACTTGACATTATCCACTTATTAGATTGAGGTCACATAAGATTAAAAATAACCTACATCAAGCACTTTCATGTTAGATTACTGCTTAGTCAAGTACATGAGAAATCCCTGGAGGAGGAGGAAGGCCCAGATCTCTGTCCTGTTGGCTTCCACCCTGAGCCAAACAGCCACATGCTCCTCATTGATTCATTTACCAGAAACACTAACAACAATGCGCCTGTACCAGTGTGTACCAGAGGCCTTAACATGTCATAAAGCTGTAAAGGGAAGCACTGCCTGCCTACCTGACCACTTTGATGACCAGGCATGTGATGAGAGCAGCTGTTAGCACGCAGATGAAGATAACTATGTTTTTCAGAGTTGGAAGATGCGTCATCATGGATGAGATCCGGGATCCCACGGCAGCGTCTGTCACGTTATGTGTCAGTTCGTCGTGGCTGATGATGGAGGATGATGTTGAATTGAACTGCGTCGCAGATGAAATAGTGAGCGGCTCGCCACTGACCCGCCAAAGAGCCGCAGCGATGAAAGTTAAAGCCAGATTGTAGGTCACCATTGTGCTGGAATAATAACAGTAATAATAATAAAAAATAATGCTTCAATAGTTTCTCCCAGTTACATGAAATGCGACAGCAGCTGTCACATCATCGGCTCATCAGATTCTGCTATTTACAAAATAAAGACAACGTGACGCGCAAACATCCATTCCTCTCCTGATCCCGGCTTCTCTCACAGACGCGCTTTTCCTGATCGCTCCTCGCATTCGCCTCCGAAACGTGTCTCCCTGCAGGTGAGCTGCAGCGATCCCCTCCTGACTGAATGAGGACTCGGTGTGGAGATGAGGATTATCCGCCTCCGAGGAGCCGTGCAGGCTGGCCTTCTGTTCCTGCTGCTCCACACCAGCGTTATGTGGGCTGCTGCTGCTGCCTTCAGGACCGCCTCGTAAATCCTGACTCACACAGACAAACGTTGGCATTAAGAAGAGGATGCTGGCAGCTCCGGGTGGCTGTTTTGGCAGCTACTGTTTGCTGATATGTACTTTAACAGTAATAAAATCATAAACCCCGGGAAAGACGTCCAGCTTAGGAGCAGTGTGTGCTTTCAGAGTCAGACACAGTTTAATTGCCAAGTAGGATGTTTTAGTACAGAACTGTAAACACCAACAGCTTTTTATAAAGCAAGTGCTGCAAGTCAGACAAATAAGAAGCAAGTGTCGCGATTTAAATTAGCAGCAAATTTCTTAAATGCAAAAAAAAGTAATAGAAATGTTTCCAGAGTGCAGGAATTAATTACAAAATAATCACCTGACAAGGTGCAAGGTGACGTCATGGATACAAGTGAAATGTGCAACAGGAAGGATCCTATTTAAAAGCTGTGTCAGTGTCTATGGGGGAGAGAGGCAGAGACACACAGACTGTATTATTATCAATATAATATGTACACAAGAAGTACGCTTAAGTGCACACATTTAGACAGTACGAGACAACTGAAAGTCTCATGGGAATCATTAAAAAGTACTTTACTATTTTTTTTCTACTTCAAATTTAGACAGGGCTTTTTTTTTTTTTTTTAAAGCTATAGCCATCATAGCCACAAAGGCCATATTATTTATTCACTTATAAATATGCATACATTTATTATTTATTTCAATTATTAAACAAACATCAGGAGAAGAAGTAAAATACCTACAAGGAGCTTTTCTTCATGTAATAAAACCTCCTGACTAGTTAGAACACGGCTCTGCTTGGTTCAGTTCCAGCAAACTAGCTGATAACATATTTGAGTTATTTTTGATCCAATTTAGAAAATTGATTTTGTGATTCTCAAAAACATGTTTTTCCTGTCAAAACGACTCAGAGCAGGATTCCATTTTGACGAGACGTCTGGCATCATCACGACTGGAAAAATGAGACACTAACACAATTAGCATTTTTTAAAAGGGCATAGAGAGTACAGAATTTAATCTTAGTAATTCTGATACAGCTACACCCCTTTACAAAATAAATTGGAATGAAACAGTGAATATTTGTTTTTAGACTCTTAGAAGCTCAACAACTTTACTGCCAGAACACGATGACATTTCAGTTTCTAATTCAACTCCAGGAGTGTGACTGACGTCACGCCCACTTTTACGACACTGTGAACTTTTTGTTTTTGTCTAATGTCTTTTCAGTCGTGCATAAGCACTGGCTTGGAGTTATTCTCAGTATTCCATAAAAAGCTACTCATTGCAAAGTTTAGCCGTCCCAATTTGTCAGATGACCCATTTTAGCGATACTCACCCCACAGCTACCTTTTAACCAGAACCAACATGCACGATCAGATTTTGAGAGTTCACTGATTACTGTTTGGCCTTTCATAGCCTCTCTCTTTGCTGTATCTCCAAACTTGAAGTACTGTACGCACCGGTACGCAGTTAGAGATCCCCAGGCAGAGGTCTTTTATCTGTTTCGGGGGCCCGGCTGAAAATCAAAAGGGACAGAGCGTTTGCAGTTGAGGCCCCGAGGCTCTAAAAAGATCTGCCTGAGGAAATTAGGTGGGCTGACTTAGTGATCTCTTTTAAGTCTTAAAAGGTACTTTAATCTGAGAGCCTTTCCTGATTTCATTTGAGCTTAAATTTCCTTTCAAACTGTCTTTCTTTAAGTAATATTATGTCTTTTACATTCTGATGATTCTACGACTTGTCTGTTACATTTTGCTGCCTTGTGAGGCGCTTCATAACTCAGTCTTTGAAAAGTAAGTAAGTTATTATTATTGCCTGAACAGAGGCAGCCGTTGTGGTCAGACCTTCATGCAGTCCTGTGAGAAATATTTAAGAACTTATCTCCTGATACAAAGTGACATGGAGCTGAGGTGTGTGTTCTTTATCATTTACTTTTGGAAGGAGGCTTACAATTTGGAATTCCTCTGTTTATAACTGTGTACAGGTGCTACTGAGTTTGTCAGGTGTCTTCTGTCTGTTTCAAGCAGCTTGATAAAAGACTTTTTCATTCTATTAGGGGGCACATTAACAAGCACACCCCATGACATCCATATGTCATCTTCATATTAGATTTGATCATGTAAATGTTTAGGATATCATGTCCATCCATCCATTATCTATACACCGCCTAATCCTCACTAGGGTCTGGGGGGGCTGGAGCCTATCTCAGCTGACTTAGGGCGAAGGCAGATCGCCAGTCTATCACAGGGCTACACTTAGAGACAGACAACCAAGCACACTCACATTCACACCTACGGACAATTTAGAATCACCAATTAACCTCAACATGTTTTTGGACTGTGTGGGAGGAAGCCGGAGAACCCGGAGAGAACCCACGCTGCACGGGGAGAACATGGAGACTCCACGCAGAAAGATCCCTGATGTCCTTACTGGGACGCGAACTGTCCTTCTTGCTGCGAGGCAACGGCACTAACCTGCCCATCCATCACTTCCTTTAAATTATTAGAGCATCCCTTTACCAGAAACAACACAGGGGATATGAGCCTGGTGTTCTCAGTGATAGAAAAGGCAACTTTTAGAGTAAACTTCAACACAGATTATTTGTGTAGCTTTGCATTGTTCTTTTGTTGAAGAGACACAGTTTTGCATCTACAGTACAAAAGTTTACATATACTCGTTAAGACCATGTGTTTCATGAGGATCTTAAGTTTCCGATGACATCTATAACGCTTCGTTTTTTGTGAGGGAATCATTGAAACAAATATCACAAAAAGCAGTCATGCATTTTTTAAAATTTCTTTCACAGATTTATTGTAAGTCTTCTGGAAACAGCAAAATCTGCAGGGTTAAAAATACACATACAGCAACTTGAATTATCAGTTGTGGTGATGCAGAAAGCCGTGTTTATGAAATTTTCTTCATGACATGACCTCCCTCTTAACTTTTCGTGAGTTATTACGCTTGACAACAGTGGCTGACTTCTCTGACCCAATTTAAACAGAGCCCACTTGATGCCCTCATTAGACTGTCACAAACGCTACAATAGAAATAGAAATAGAATAGTCTAAGGAGCTCAACAAAGCTCTGAAAATGTAAATCACTGACATAAACAAGTCAGTAAAGTCACCCAGAGTCATTTCAAAACAGCTACAGATCCCAAAATTATCTGTTAAACAATTGTTTGTATACTATAAAGTGCATGGTGTTGTTGTGTCACTGCCATGAAAAGCCAAGAGAACACAAACTATCACCTGCTGCTGAGAGACGGTTGGTCAAGATGGTAAAGAGTCGACCAAGAATCACCAAAAAGCAGGTTTGCAATGAATTAGAAGCTGCTGGAACACAAGTGTTAGTGGGCATCATGAGCTGAGAGGCTACCGTAAAGAGGGAAGTTCATCCTCTAGAAACGACACCTTAAAGCTTTAATGAAGTTTGCTGCTGATCACATGGACAAAGAAAAGGAAATACTATTGGTCAGAAGAAATGACAAAAAAAAGCTATTTGGACACAGTAACCAGAGATATGTTTGGAGGAGACAATGTGAGGCCTTTAACCCCAAGAACACCAAACCTACCATCAAGCATGGTGTTGGCAGTATTATGCCTTGGGGCTTTTTTGTTGCAGGTGGAACTGGTGCTTTACACAAAGTGAATAGAATAATGAAGAAGAAGGATTACCTTCATGTGCTTGAGGAAAACTTAAAATCATCAGTCAGCAGAAGGTTGGCTCTCAGACGCAGTTGAGTGTTCCAACAACACACATCGGAAGTGGCAAAGAAATGGGTAAATCAGGCTAGAATCTGTGGACTGTGCTGAGAAAACAAGTCTAAACTGCACCTGTTCTGTCAAATTCAGTGGTCAAAGATACAACCAGAGGCTTGTGGACGGCGACCAAAAGCACCCAGGTGAGGTGAAAATATTAGCATTGGTATATATTGTTGACCCAGCAGATCTGGTTATATTCCCAGAAGACCTACAATAAATCTATGAAAGACCCAAAAATGAATGATTGTTTTAAGTGGCAATGATGCATGTGTTTCATATTCATTCCATCATAAAAAATTTGCATTATAGGAATCCCTGGAAACTCAAGCCTGCCATGATACACATGGTTTCTACTGGTGTATAACAACTTTTCTGATGATCCCAGATATTAAGCTCAGTGGTCAATCTTTTTTATGAAACCAGAAAAATCTAACATCCAGACTAGAAAAACATATTACATGCATGTTTATCTTATATTAAAGATGTTAAAGCAGTGGTAACTCTGTTAAACAAAAACAAAACAATGAAACACTACTATTTTAGTTTAACACAGCGTCTAGGAGGCTGACAGTGGGTTGTCACATCTTCTAGATATGTGTGTCATAGATCCTTCTAACCACTCTTACCACTTTGCTGCACATTTCGGGTCTCCTTTGCAGTTTACAAATTTCCGACAGCATCCGAAGGCAGCATTTACCCATGGGCCACAGCAGGCACAATTTACCAAGGGCAGCAGACTGCCGGGTCACGACCGCAGATTCCAGGGTAAACCTTGACCAGACAAGACAGTGATAATCAGTCAGTGGATCAGTGATGGCGATAATGGTTTAAATCAAATCTAAGCAAAATCAATTTCTGTCTATGTATGTCTCATTCAACAGACACAACTTATGGCTTTTTCATTTCTATTTTCACCAGAACATTTGGGGGAAAAAAGGGAAATTATTTAGATTTAGTCATATAAATAATGCTTCTGCTTGTTCGTGGGTACATGCAGGTAAAACTATGTTCGACACACAGCGCTGTGCATCAAATACATGCAGCATTTCTTTGTGCAAACCTGTAGGAGCTCCCTTAATGTGAGAACAAAGAAAAAAGCCAGTCTGTTTAGTTTGGCTGTTTTTGCTGATTTCTGCACAGCCACTAATACGAGTTCTAGTCTTTTACTGTGCAGCTGAACATGAGAGCTACTTGGTCTGATCAAAGTCCACCAGATGGCAGCACAAAATAATAATGGAGCATGCTTTTCTTCCAGCGGCCAAGTTTCAACATTCAGCACAGACTCATTTGAGGAAGCCTCTGGGATCTGGTATAGTGCTCAGCAGATAAAGCATTCCATAGCTCACATTTGTTTGTATTAGAACAGGGATATTAGGTGGGCTTCTTAGTGAGGAACATACACAACATGTACCTTTTCCACATCTTGATTCTGCATGGAGATTTAAAGCTCACTGAGGTGATTTTCGGCATGTGAGGCATGACTTTGTTTTTCTACAAGAGATGATAAAAATCTATAGCCGAGGGGTGTTGCCATATTCTGAGAGGAAGGCCTGAACTTTGCACAGAAAAACAGCTCAGTTTGTGACTGCAGTACAACACAGCTAAGCATGCTA